CAGTAACAATGACAAAACAACAGTCTCTGGCTCTAGCCCTGAGCAACAAAATTACTGGATCCCAGCATCCCAAATGCTTCCTGGATGAGAATGTGTGCAGGGTCTCCAGTGTATAATGTGTTCACAAGTCAGTGTGCCTTAGTACGGCCTTTACCTTGGAGTTTCCTGAAGGTCCCCTTCAGGAATTATGTCACTCTTCCTGGGGGTAATTACTACTGCTGTCATGTCCCCAAGCACCACCCATGTTGGAGCCATTTCTTCATTCTACCCTATCACCATTTTTTAATTTGAACTAGGAGAAGGAAACTGGGGTTAACTAAGAATAGACTCTGATGAGATGAAGCTACAAAACAAATCAGTTAAAATTCCATCTCATCTTTCATAACCTGGCACCTCATTTCAATTCCTTACCCTCACCCCACCCCACAGCCAGGAATAAAATAGTGTGGATGAGACATCACTGTGGAATTGAAAGCATCATAAAGCTTCACTCAGTTCCAGCCAATGTCCCTGGACCGAATGTGCCTGGGTCCTGATTCTGTTTGGGGTCTGTTCCGGCCCATCTAGAACACAATCAGGAGATAAGACTTATATAGGGTCTCTGCTCTAGGGTCAAAGACAGCCCCAACCTCAGCATCACTAACTTAATATACTTCCTTTGAGGACCTTTGAGACCTGCAATCAAGTAAAATCCAGGCCAGCTTATCCTGCCAACCAGACTTGCCTGAACGGTAAGCTGTTTGGGTACTTGCTTTAGGACCCTTATTATTCATTTATGGCATGAATTCAAACAAAACAAGCCAGTTTTAAAACATAGACTCTTCAATGAATAATGCAGCCTCTAAGGAGTTGGTAAATGCTAATGCTCCAATCAACTCTTTGGGAATCCAGTAAGGTCATCAACCAATAGAGGTAACAAACCAGAAAAAAATATATTTGAATGCATTTATAGAAATGAATTTGATTGTATATAATACAAGCAGATGAGTGACAAATATATGAAAAAATGTTCAACATCTTTAGCAATTAGAGAAATGCAAATAAAAACTACTCTAAGATTTTATCTCACTACAGTCAGAATGGCAGCTATTAAGTATACAAACAACAAAAAGTGTTGGCAAGGATGTGGGGAAAAGGTCCACTCATACATTATTGGTGGGACTGCAAATTGGTGCAGTCAATATGGAAAGCAGTATGGAGAATCTTTGGAAAACTGAGAATGGAACCACCATTTGACTCTCCTCAATCTATACCCAAAGGACTTTGAAACAGCATACTACAGGGACACAGCCACATCGATGTTTATAGAGCACAATTCACAATCCACACAATAAACTGTGGAACCAACCTAGATGCTCTTCAGTAGATGAATGGATAAAGAAAATGTGGTATATTTACATAATGGAATATTACTTAGCATTAAAAGAGAATAAAATCATGGCATCAAGTAAATAGATGGAGCTGGAGAATATAACGCTAAGTGAAATGAGCCAACCCCCCAAAATCAAATGCCAAACGATTTCTCTGATTTAAGGATGCTGATTCATAATATGCTGGGGGGGGATTAAATGAACTCTAGATAGGTCAAAGGGGAAAGGGGGAAGGAGAGGAAGAGAAGGGCCATAGGGGTAGGAAAGACGGTGGAATGCGATGGCCATCATTACCCTAAGTACATGTAAGAAGACATGAAGGATGTGACTCTATTTTGCGTACAACCAGAGATATGAAAAATTGTGCTCTATATGTATAATATGAATTGTAATGCATTCTGCTGTCATATATAACAAATTAAAATTTTAAAAAATTTTTAAAAATTAATTTTAAAAAGTGAGTGAACAGTTTGATGAAGGTTTCAAATGATGAAACTTCATTTCAGGCTGCACTCAGGTCCTAGAATTGTGGGCCCTTGGAAGTGATGAGAGAGGGAAGCACCAGAGTGAAAGAAGACCACTCAGCTGGTGTCAGGCCCTTCACATGCTTTCTCACATCTTTTTCACAGATAATTAATTTCAATGATTTACCTGAAAGACTCTTGTCTCCTTGACCATTTCCCATTCTATAGGACAATCCCACCTAAAGTAAAATGTGAATCCCTTTACTCCCCTTCACAATGGTCCCTTTTGTCATAGAAAAGGAAAAAGGCCAAACTCTTTAATCAATTTGGTCATAAACACCCTCTGTGTGGTTTATAGTAATAACAGGTAACATACACTCACAAGTCCTTGGCACAGCAGGGGAGACACTTGGAGTCATGGCTCTCCCACGAATTAGCTGTGAGATCTTGGGCAGGGTTACGTGGCCTGTAAGCCCTGGAATAGCACCAGTGCTTAACTCACAGGGCTTTTGTGAAGGGGAAAAGAGAGTAGAAGTGTTATCCCATGTGCCGCTCTAGCATGCTCTCTGTTTCTTGCATCTGCTGCTGATTGTCCTAGCTTTGCCTCGGTTTTCTCAGCTCCATCTCCCTTTCCCACAGCATAGTGCACCACCTATTTTTCCATGATCAGAAGCTTTTCTCAGAATTCAAGACCTAGTTTGAATGCCTTCTCCTCTAGCTCTTCCCCCATCAAAATGTACACCTCTACATTATCTTCATATGTCTTGTTCTCTATTTATTTTGCTGTACATTGCAATTGGAAATTCACATATTTGACTCTCATTTCCATTGGCTTATAGATCTGAGGATAATTTAACTTTCCTTCCATTCTTAACACCAACCAGCATAATATGTACATGCCAAACACTCCATTTTGTTGCAATTATTCATTAACATCAAATTGCTTTAAAATTTCACTCCTCTTATTAATATATTTCTTCTCTCATTGACATTGTTTATGGTATAGTAGACAAAAATATTAACTATTCAAATTCTAAATACTAATTTTATTTTAAAATATTTTCTTGAACATCTGTGGTACAGTAGTAAAATCCCATTAATATGTTAATTTTCATTATATAATGTGACAGAGAAATTATTCTCTTAGAGATTGTTAGTCTGGATTTTTAAATATATATTATTTGTTGTTGGTAGACATTTATTTACTTATTTATTTGCATGCAGTGCTGAGAATTGAACCCAGTGCCTCCCACATGCCAGGCAAGTGCCTACCGCTAAGCCCCAGCCTCTGCTCATTAGTCTGAATTTTTAATGTACATTTATTTTTAATTACAAAAGTTATATATAACTTTGAAACCTTGGAAAAGGGAGAAACCTTGGAAAAGGGAGAAGAAGCTGTGGATACCCTCATCTATCAAATTGAGCTCATTCTCAAAGTATAGTCTGATCCAGCCGCATCAGCATCAGCTGGAATCTTGTTAGAAATGCAGACTATCCAGGGCATTTCATGCCTATTTAAGAAAAATGTGATTAATTTGGACCTTTAATTTTGAAAAACACTGCTTTTAGGTAATACCTAAAGCCCAGCAGAGCATGTCTCAAGAGCACCTCTCTCCTTCCAATAAATATTTTTTGAGCACCTCTATATGCCAACTATTATACTAGATGCTCTTTTCATCTTCAAGATTCTTTCCAGGACTGACTCAGGAAGAGTGTTGGCCTCCTTTTGAACTGTTTCTTGGTCAAATCAAATAGGTTAGCTCCTAATTTCAGAGAGGTGCAAACCAGCTCATTCTGAGGGAGTTCCACTTCTCTTCGTTTCTAGTTTTCACTCAGTAATGCCTTTTAAGTCTCCAAAGTTTGATGCTATCTTATATGCTCCCTCCTTCCGTTAACAGCTGAAAAATGCAAGGGAAAAAAGGCTTTAAGATAAGCATTTCACAGTTGAGGTTAAATAACACATTTGTTTGCCTTATGCGGCTTCCATATATTTTGTGTTTGGGAAT